TCATTTCAGAAAATAAAATGCAGTGTTTGGCAGTTTTACATCAGTGTCACTTATGTGTTAGCAAAAGCAGTATATTCTACAAAAGCAAAGGTGTCCTGCTAGCCCTGCTGTTAAGCTGCAGAGCTATAGGAGCATCAAGCAAGCTTGTTTGGTGCATTAATTGTCAGATTGCTTTAGCTGAATTAAAAAAAAAAAAAAAAAAGGCAATGGGCAAGTGAACCCTCATACAAATGAAAACTTGTGCTTTTTTTCTATAGTGAAAATATCCTGAGAAAAAGCAGATGATACATGATCATAGCATTTAGTTTATTTGAACAGCATTTTGTACCTCAGAAGGAAAACAAAAATAACCTTTTCTTCAAAAGCAATATTTATCTTGAAAATGCTTGGTGGCTGTTGTATGGTGAACATTCTGGACCTCAAGTGATAGTGTATCCATTACTTTCTAGTTTTCCAAGAGTAGCAGTAGCGAAAATAGAGCATCACTCTTGTAACCTGGCTCTGTGCATAGATAGGTGTTTTGGATGGTGACACTATGAACTTGGACAGGTGAGCTTTTTCTGAGCCTTTCAAAATTCAAGTGGAGCAAGTGTGTTTTATGTGAGCGAGAAAAATTTCATGACTGTTTTGAAGAGAATTAAAATGCTTCATGGCTTAAATTCGGTAAAATCTGCATAGATGTAGTGGCAAAAGGGGACAGATGCAAGTCTTAAGACTGAAGGTTTATACTTGTTTTGTCTTAATCTAGAGCTGTTGCCCCTGTGTACCACGAGGTGGCCAAGGCAGAAGAAACCCAGGCAAACGCCTGGAGCTGGGTATTTAAGAAACTGTGACAAATTCCTGGCAGGGATTGTCTTGCTGGTGGGAGGTCAAACATAAGGTTGATTGTATAGACAGCTCTCTACTTGCTTGGTAGTAGTAGATACCAATTTGTTGTGTCCATGCTCTGAAATGTGGAGAACATGAACTGGTTCTAAATATTGCATGCGTTATTCTTGAGAGTGTGTTTCACCTATCTCAGTATTGCATAAATATATGACCATAATGCAGCAACTCTGGGGGACCACTGCTTGGGATGAAGCTGCGGAGAAGAGTTGCTCTATGTTTGCACCTAGGGGCTTGCTGGTTTATTAGAGGTCTCTGGCATCATGATGCCATGATGCTGTTGGTAGCACAGGAATAGGAATGTTGCTGTGGCTGAGTGTTTGTTTTCTGTCCATTTCGATGGGCTGTTCTAGTTTTCTTTTTCCTTTGGTTAGTTTTCCTTTATGAAAACGGACAACCTTCAGTGCACAAGGTGCAGTCCTAAAAGTGGAAGAGAAAAATTATTTGGGGGCTGGTGTTTGTTAAAGCACTGCTTTAACTACAGATTCTTCTGTTGCAAAATTCCTTCAAATTTCTGTGCGAAGATAGTGGAAAAAGCTAGAAAACTCCTGAAGACCAGGCTTGTACTAAGTGCTTATTAAATTAGGTCTTTACAGGATAAATTGTGCTCTTCTTATAGGGCTTCCCTGGTCGGCCTAGAGAAAACACAAGTTTAATCATGTATACCAGTGCCAGGCTAGCAACAAATCTTAGACTAGTATTAATCCAAAACACTCAGCCTGCAAGAGCACAGCCAATATAAAATTCTTGTGCGTCTCGGGAATCCATTACTGCTTCTCTGTGTGGACTTTGTAATGTGCAGTTTATTGCTGATTCCAAGGAAATGGAGGATTTTTAGCACAATAATGTGAATTTGCTGAGATCCTGACCATCATACAAGTCTCATGGGTGCTATGATAATACAAGTACATGGAGAGTTGTGTATTCAGCTGGGTATAATTTTTATCTCTGGCAAAATGAAAAGGGATTGAATATCCATTCCGAGAGGAGTTTTTTCTGGGGAAAAAACAACTGATTGATATCTGAGTCAAAAAGATTTAAGATTTTTGGAAAACACATTATGCTCACCCAAAAATGCTGGTGATGAAAGGCAGCAATTTGAACAACTCAAAACATTTTAAAAAGTTGTTTATAATCGTGTGTGTTTTATATGCCTACGTTCTGCAGTGCTTCAGGCAGATCATGCTTCCTCAGAAGTCATGCAGAAAAACATGGCCTAATACAAAAACCTTAATAAAAGTAGAGAATGGGAACTTCAGAATGGGGATCTGCTTTATGTATCTCTTGGCACCTTTTTTAACATATCAAACATTTTACAGTGGTTGTATATAAGAGAGAGTTCATGAAGCCTGCAAAGCTCATGAAAATCAGGTTGAAGTCTTTTTGAAAATCACATGCTGATAAGTAGAATTAAGTGACCTTTGTAGTAGCCTGGAAGTATGCTAAGCTAAATGAAAAATGATACAATATATCAAAAATCTCCTGACATGCTTATTTTCTAGTATGCATGTCTTTTTGAGAAATTTTTAAATTTCTAATGGTAATTTGTGTGTGGATGGCAGTTTGAACTTAACGAGCAGTTAGGCATTTACTATCCAGAGCGACAGCTCTGCCTCTCAAGTGGGAATGCACGGTGAACCAAAATATGTGGGGAGCAATAACAAATCATGCTTTTACTTTTAATTGATACATGGCTGTTGAAAAAATAGTAAGTGTTTGAAGGTTTACTTGCATTAGTGTAGCTGAATAATAGGAAGAAAGTTGAGGTGTTCTAATAATAATGAAGAAAAGATGCTACATCTAGGCAGAAGGCTTAATTTTCATAGCACATTTCCCCAGTGAGAAGTTCTCTCCTTAGTCTTTCTGCTTCAAGAATTTAAGTGCAGCCAATTCAGCTGATGTGCATGGATCTGTAAGCAAGGTTTGAGGAGTGAAGGGTTAGAGTGCAGGGTTTTGGGTGCAGTGATAGTGCAAATTTTTGAGTTTTAGTAACAGCCTGAGTTAAGAGTTCAGCTCTTTTGCTGTGCATAATCCAGGTCCTTTAAAGTATATTTTAAAGATCTGATAGTACCAAGCTATTGCCTTATAAAGCAAGGTATATACCTGATGTTTTCAACAAAACCATCTGGGACTTGCCTGCTTCCCAGCAAAGCCTGGAGCCTTCCCATCCTGCCAGCACAAGGGGTGACCTGTTGTCCACCTTGCACAGAAAATGGATCACAAGAATGTATATAGTCTTTTTTATTTTTTCCCTTTTTTCTTTTTTTCAAGCCAGGGTAAGAATCAGCAAAATTTTATAATGTATGTCAATATTGTAAAATTCTCCCAAGACTCGGGGCGGGGGGGAAGCTTCCCCTAACTTATAAGTATTTTCCTCGTAAGAACAGTTTCTAAATCAGTGATATTTAACTTCAAATTTGAGAAAGTAAAAGGGAGACTTGTTAAAGGAAGGGTTTTAAAGTCAGTATACTCAATCATATCTTTCTCATTATTGCTTTCTTATCTATTAAATGCTGTATCAATTTGAAAGTATTGGAAATCAGATTCTATTAAATGATTGTCCAATTTTAAGCAGTTCCAGCATTACATTCCACTAACTTTAAGGTATGAAATCAAATAGCCCTTCTAATACCCCTAAACTGTGTGGAACTGGTTGGATAAAAGATTAAATTGGTATGGAGCTGGTACCAATTCTTCTTTCCTATGCTACTGAATCTTGTTAATTGTTAAGGCTGGGTAGACGTTCCAATTTAAAGTGTAGGTATTTTACAACACACTCGCGTAGATCCTAAGTGACAGACTATATGAAGAAATCAGCACATGGATGTGCTATTTCACAAGATGCTACTAAAAAATAATTGAAGGTTTTGAGATCAAGTGCTAGGGATGGACTGTGCATGAAGAGGTGGTGCGGTAGATCTAACTCGGGCTTCATAATGTCTTTCTACATAAGACTTCAGTTAAGTAGGTGACACTAGGGCTAATCTGGGTGTTTTTAGCTTTTAGTGTTACCTTTCCACTGCATCAGATAGAAGGGAGGTTAACTAAAGCTCAAGGATAATTTTTGAGATCCAACTGAATTTTTTTTTCTTTACTGATGCCCTGATGTAAAGACTAGGAATGTGCTAATACAGGTAGTCCACGGCACAGAGGTGGGGGTTAGAATAACTGGTCCAGAATTAAGACTTTGAAGCATAGTAAAATAGAAAGGGGATGTGATTTAGGATTACAGAGTGTGAGGTCATGTGTCTAGGGACTAATTAGTTTTTCTGTGTTACAATAGGAAACGAGTTGAAAGTGACAAGGAAGCTGTTGGAGCATTAATGAGAGGAGATTGAGAGCAGCCTGTCGGATTCCCTCATGAAGAAGGGAAATTGCTCCTGTAAGGAGAGATGGTGAAATAAGAATACTTTATATAGATCAAAAATAATCTTGTCTGGAATATTCTGTACACAAGAAAGGTTAATTCAGCCCATGACAGATGCAAAGAAAGGCTCTGAAAACTAGGGGAAAAATTGAGAACTCTCTCTATGGGGACACCAAGAAAGTGTGGCTTGCTTAATTTGGTAAAACAAAGGTTAGGAGTTGGCTCCTCATGAATCTACCTGGAGAATGGAGACAAGGAAGGGAGACAAGACTCACATTAAGCTCTAACCACTCCAATCATAAGAAACAATAAATAAGCCAGTTACTAGTCATCAAGTTATATATTTAGTCACTGATTGAGAACCTGCTGCTTCATAACATGGGTAACAGGTAGGAAAAGGTCCAAGGGCAAGTGAACAGTCATGGTCCCTGATGATATTCCCAAGAATATAATTCCCAAGCTGTTTTCATCCTCATTCAGCTAACCAGATAACCTACCTGGATATTTGCTGATAAATGTTACAGGTTTTATTTGTGGTATGCAGCTCAATGGCATCTCCACCTAGTCCATCACAACTTGCTGTCATCTTCAGTACGGTGTTTCCAGTGGCTGCTGTCAGCACCTAGGAAGGTCACTTGGCCATAGGTCCTATTTTCGTTTTCCCGTTTTCATAGTTGTGCCTAATCAAATGCAGTGTTCTTGGGAACTCTCACCCCATGGAAGTGTTGGGGCCCTTAGCTCTGTGTCCATGAGACATCTTGTGGCAAATACTGAACTGAGCCTCGATGAGTTTGAGGAGCAGGATCACCACAGTGTAACGGTGTTTCACGAGTTAGCGACGCAACGAAAAGTCATGTCCAATATATATGGTAAGTCAGTGTTCACGCTCGTTCTGCATTTGAGAGCAGATGAATTGTGGTGGTGTGTAGTATCACTTTTTTTTTTTTTTTTTAAGAAAAAATGAAGTGAAAAGGGAAAAGATTTCTATAAAATCCTAACCAGCACAACCCCCTGGTATAATCATAACATTAGAATCCATGTGCCCTCACCTTGTTTCTTTTTATTTTTTTATGCTAATAAAATCATAACTGCCAGCTAAACACTGCTTTTCCTGAGTCCGCATTAATTGTAGTCACACTTCTGGGAAATTATATTAGTTTTTATCACAGATGAGTGTTTTCAGAGGCAGTTAAATTACATCCTTATTCCAGGTGGGATATCCTCTTCAGATTTTCATTCATTATCTAATCTTAAAATAATGCGAAATTGTTGCAATATAGCCCTATATACCACGGTTGTTTCCCTGTGAGAGAGCTGTATAAGGAAAAAGTGCTGGAGCTTGATAGTCCTAGAGTGAAGTCTATCCTGTCCATAAGTGCTGGCAGGTTTGGGAGAAGGTTGGGCAGCTTCAGAGCAAAGAGCAGTCCGTGCGTGGGAGGCACGGAGATGCCACCATCCCGATCAGAATGGGGTTGCCTGAAGCTAGGAAGGTGTTTCAGGAAAGATGCGCTGGATCCTTCTGTTCTGGCATCTTTTTTAGGCTCTCCCTGCTACAGTAGTCTGACCTTTGTTCTGATGTGTTTCACACATTCCTGTATTTTTAAGCTGATTGTGTGAAGCATCAACCCAGCCCCATATATCTGCTAGTTAGGGGAGAGGAGGGGAGACCCTGGGAGAGAAAACAAGGGTTGATACCCTGTTTCTTCTAGGCATTAAAGTGCGTCGATATTACGTTGATGGATGTCTAATTAGTTTGTTTTATTCCTGCTATGAGTGTCTTTTGTGCAGTACACTAAAGCTGGTATCAGAAAGTTTTAAGTTCTAGTTTTCCTCAGATGAAGAGAACAGGGCCAGTGCTATAGGAGAGTGCTGCTTTTTGGCTGCGGTGCCAATGTGTGGCTGTTAGCTGAAGTATCGATCTAATTGCAATGCAGCTGTAATGGGGTAAGTGTGTTTAATGCTAATTCAGTTGTTCAGAACTTGAATCTGATTTCTGAATTAATACGTTCACAATCTTCTGAAGTGTTTAATGAATCTGCTTCTTGCGTAGACATTTTGAAATTACAATGACCTAGCTAAAATTGTTATTAAAGAACACTGAGTTTATGGGAAATTTTATACTCTACTTTTACTGAGTAGCTTATTAGAAATTTTATAGAGCGCTTTAATGGAGTATAAAATTTCTAATGCTTTTCATGGCTGAAATGTTTAGGAACATTTTTAAAACAATCTCTGCACCTGAGGATCCTACACCTTTGCCTGTGCGTTGGGCAGACGTTACCAGCAACAGTATTTTAATACTGAGGCTTCCTGTGCCATTAATTAGTGTGCTTAGCTACACTCATAAATGCATTTACAAGTGTAGAAATCAAGTGGGGATGAATCTTTCAGGGCTTTATGAGGGTGTAGGTAAAACAACATCATGCACAAGGTCTGATCTATACAGAAGGTGTCATTCAACTTCTTACTGTTAGGAGAAATCTTTTAAGCAAAGGCATTTATATTTGAAATTGCCGTTAAGAGCTTATTCCCAGAAGTGGCTTTCTAGCAAATGAGCTTTCTGTGCATTTGAATTGCACCTATGAGCCCAGATTATTTCAGCATTAGGAACGGCAACATAAAGGTTGTTGGCAGAACTTCTGGAGAGTGCTTTATTTTACAGTATTTTATCAAAAGTGTTACAGTAGGTGCACAGACTACTATAAGGGCAGGTTAATAACGACAGCTTGTCAATGGGAAACGGTTTCAAACCATTTTTCAAATTTAGACTTTTAAAGCTGGCCCTTTCATGGGCTGTCAGAGCTGCAGCAAGTCTGTCTGTCAGCGGCTGTAACTGTGGGACAAAAAGCTGGGGGTACCTGGCCTGGGTGTCTGGTGAATCAAAGATCAAGTTATGATGGTGAGAACAGGGGTTTTATCACCACTTCATCAAGCAGTGGTCTGTAAAATGATTGCATCTATTTATTTCACTTGTTGTTTTGCGCCCTTCAAGTGCTAGAAGTAAGAACCTTCCCAGCAAAATTCAACCTTGATACTATTTTAAAGAAATAAAAACCCGAATGCCCAGTACATCCTTTTATATATTTTTATTTAAAATGTAATATTATAAGTTTTAGTCTCTAAATAGACGAGAGAGAGAAAAAAAAGCCTTGGATGAGGGGTTGGATGAGGAATTTTTTCCTCTGCTTTTGCTACCAATCGAGTTCAGTGTCATGGTGAAAGCACAGTCTCAAATTGCTTCTGAATGAAGCGCATAATGACCATAAAATGTTGAAAACATTTTGCAGTTTAGAATTACTTCTTGAAAATCAAGAACACGAGCAAGTGATTATGGAAGAGTTCACAACCTATTAATTGCGGATAATCACTTCTCCACATCAGTGGATCTAGAAGAAAAGAGAATAGCAGAAATATTTTTGTTTTGTGCTCAGCTTCATTGTCATTTAGGAAACTAGCAATTGGCTATTATTATTTATTATTATTATTATTATTGTCAAACTGCTGCTTAGACCTCTCTTAAAATGAAATCTGAGCTCTCTTTGGAGAAAACTGCATTTGTCTTAATGCTGTCCTTTTAGCTTGCTCACCTTTCGTGTGAGGCCCTTATCTAATGTGGAGCAACAGCTTGGGCTCTCCTGTGTGCCCTGGGCTGCTTAAAACAAGTGGAAGGTGCAGAGCTGTAATAGGGCACTTCCATATGTGCTTGCTCTTCGCACATTGAATGAAGAGCATGATTTAACTGAAAAGAGTTTGAAATACATGTTTCTAAGTCTCCTTGTATGGTACATGGCACCTTGTACGTGCTAGAGTAAGTGCCAGCAATGAGTAAGAGCATATTTTGAGAGCCTCAATGTGAGAAATGGACAAACTTGGAGCCATTATACTTCTTACACCAATAAAAGTTATTTATATGGCCACCAGCTGGAAATAGCTTCCAATTACCCCATTATTAAGTTTTACAGGATATGCCAATTGCAACCCTCATTGCAAATTATTGCCATTGTATTAGCCAATTAAGTTTCATTTGCTGATACTCAGTAATGTCTTTCCTTTTACATCTGTTTCTGTTATTCAACAAATACACAGTTGAGCTGTGGCATATTAAGAATATCAGAGAGAGTCTTTGGAGAGCTGCACAGGGCTGGAGCCTTGGAGGCATGTATTCTTCTGAAGCAGTTGAAACAAAATTAAGTATTATTCACTTAAGAATCAACATGCTTCATTAAAGTCTCCTGCAAGAAAGCATTTGAATTCCTGGGATTTCCTTTTGGAAACAGAACAGGAACCATCATGACTGAGGGTAGATGGATGGTGTGTCTTTGTGGACTTCATTTAGGAGGAGAGTTGAGCTATTGGTATACTTCTGAAAATGTCAGCCTGGAAAGCACCTAATTTCTTCTCTGAAAGAGGTAAATATATGTTCTAGTAGCTCTAAATGCGTCTGAAGTAGTATTTAATTCTGTGCCACATTTACTGGAGGAGCAATATACCAAACCTGCCCTCGTTCAGGTTGCCATCTTCGTGTTTGCTGACCTGGAAACCTTCTGAGAAAACATCTCAAACGCAAAGATTCTCCTCCAAACCACTAGCCCCAGCAGTGCTGTGGGAACGTTTGTTCAAAGAAAGGAAAAAGATGAAAGCACATTTTTCGATTGACTTGGAAATGCTGAAATGGTGCTGCTGAGACACGGTTTCATTCATCATTGTAGATAATGTGAATCAGCCAATGACAGCCTCTTGCTTCAAGTTCAAACATGTTACTTTAGAGTTTGTATCAAAGCTTCGTCAGAAAAAAGTAGACCTCTTTATTGAATATATAATAAGTGATAAACAGCTATCTCCTGACAATTATGTGTGTGTATGTGCATATATATATTTTTTTTTCTGTTGTGGTGGATATAATAAGTTATATGCCTGATTTAAGTGACTTTACAGTGTCCCGTAACTCCAGAAGCAGGTACTTAAGCAAAGCAAGGCATGTCTTATGTTTAGGTTACAAGAATAATGGCAAATGCATGCTGCAAACTTGTATTTTAAATAAAAAGGGGTGCTTTTTTTCATTATATCTTGAATGCCGGAGGAGACTGTTTCAGGACTGGAAAGGCATCCAATTATTGAATTTAAAAGATGTAATTAGGTAGAAGTGTTTTAAAAAGGCAAATGAGGAATGGCAGTTTAATAATATCCTATGTTTTCTAAGACCTATATTCATTTTACATGGGGAGAGGCTAGTCAGAAAATTCTTCCCATAAAGGAAATATGTTTTTGAAGAATATTAACATTTAATATTTAGTGTAAAGCTATGCTGTATAGATTGACTTGGTTCTATAGCTGGAAGAAATCAACTGAGATTATGGATTTGTATAGATATATACTTTTTAATAGAGCAATAAATGCTAATATTGAGCTATTGAAATAGTGACAGCTAAGCACTCAGAAGCCTTGGTATTAGATAAAGGACATGCTTGCTGTCAAGTGGAGTTAGATGAGTCACACTCGAGTTGGATGTATAAATTTGAACAAATGACATTTAGTGTTAGTTGTACTCCTAGGATATTCCAATGTGATTTCACTGATCCTTGATGGAGTATGAGGTGAAGAACTAGTAATGAGTCTAGTAGCTGGTCTGGTGCTCAAAATTGAGACACATTTCTCAAGTTTTTGCAAAGACAGAAACCTACACTAATGAGTTTAAGAATTAAAACTTAGTTTAACTTGACAAGATGAGGAAATATAGCTTAAATAGTTTCTTGCTCTAGAGGACGAGCCTCACTACAATGTCTGTTGTGCAGCGAAGTGATTCATTGGAAAGAGGAGGATAACTGATAAACTTCGACAGAGGAGGATAACTCTATTCTGCATTTAGGAC